CTTAAACATTACCCCAAACAGAACTGTTTATTTCTGTTGGATCAAAAGCCTAATGTCGATATTTATACCAGTAGTAGTTGTTATTAACAGTGAGAGATCTGTCTTTCGATCTCTTTCTGTGTCTCGAGTGCTAAACTTCATTAACGTAATTGAAATTCATATATTTAATTATGCCATATTTTTCTGTATTTAGTGCTTCTTTAAAACTCTACCCTCGTCGTGGTGGCTAAAGTATGGCCACGCTCGGTCGTTAGAGAACTATTACTATCACCTAACTAAAGGGTAGGACAAATGCTAATTTTTACTGTACCTACTTTGCAATAACTTTTGAGTTTTGAGGCCTGCAGGAGACTTATAATTCTGTAAAAAAGATCAGATCGCATGCCTTTCCTCTCTTATATTACTATTATCTGTTGAGTTTGTTTCGAAGATTGACAGCATGTTAAGAGTTAAACAGACTTAGGCTACTAAACGAGTATTTTTTTACACTATCTAGTATTCTAGAAACAACATTTTAAACATAATACACATCATAATATTTAACACGCTTCTTCTAATTACTTTTAATTACTACTTTATTTTACTCAAATTTTGGATGGAAATATCTGAAATTACAATTTCTTTAATGGCATTACTTTCTGAAGATATATAAAAATTTATTATAGTTTATAAGCTCCAAATTTACCAGCCTATTACTGTGGATAGAAATCTCTCGCTGGTATTCTATAGCAGCTAAGACTACTTTACTTGCATAACTGAACTGCTATATATTTTTAATTAAGAATGAAAAACTTCTCGTATTAAAATATTTCATTGTGAAAACAGCCTTCCATTGAAGAGGTAAAATATTAAAAACAAAGAATTCTATGACTTCTAATTTTAAAACAAGGAGAGAGTAACATTTAAAGTAGCATAATTAAATTAGTTTACATTCACCCACTATCATGAATTTAATTCTTGTAATATCTTAATTACAGTGCATAAAGATACAACTTTTACTGATAATTGATTTCTTACCTCTCAGGCAAAAACAAAAAAATTAATTAAAATCATATTCCATCCGAATATAAGATTAATAAGTTAATAAAAAAATTAATGCAGATTGAAATATAATTATTAATGTGTTTTTTTTTGTAGGGATTGGACAACTTAAATCCTGCGAAATTATCACAGTAGTTTAAACAACGAATTTGTAGAGTAATCATAATATATTTGAAAATTAAGCAAAAAGAGCTCGACCGTACACAAAGATTTTGTTAATCCTTAAAGATAACTTTCCCACTCAGGTCACGAGATAGTTTAAGATTATTTTACACATTCTCAGGTGAGTCTGATTATCTTTAGCGCTATATATATGTATATGAAATCAGTAAAAAAACACACACATATATATATGATTATACACACACCAATGAAATATTCTTATCCGTATGTTATTACTGACATATTATATCAACTGTAATTAATTCCTGACATATTATTATCGCTGTATCTGATTATTAACATAGCATTATAAATGTATCTTATTACTAACATATTATTATCACTGTATCTAACTGCTAACATTTTATTTTCACTGTATCTGACTGCTAACATATTATTGTCACTGTATCTAACTGCTAACATTTTATTTTCACTGTTTCTGACTGTTAACATATTATTGTCACTGTATCTGACTGCTAACATTTTATTTTCACTGTTTCTGACTGTTAACATATTATTGTCACTGTATCTGGTAGCTGATATATTTCAGTTGACTGTTATAATTTTTTTGTTTTTTTCTTCTTTTGTTCAGAATGAGAGTAAACTGGAAAATACATGGTGATTCAAAGTCCATAGACCACAGACAGATATTTCAGAAATGGAGAGAAAAATAATTGTTAGTGGTATAGAATGGGGTGTTGCGGCCCTACTCTGTGATAATGTCATTTAGGCCATCTTCTAGATCACGTTCTTCGGAACTTGTTTTTGATATACGTCATACACCCAAACTTTCAATGGCAAAAGTGTAGACAATAATAAATGAAATACTTGGACCCAGAAATTGTCAATATCGTTGCTCAAAAACAAAAGTTATAGGTATGTTGAGTTGTGCCACAGAAGATTGGAATTTCACCCTAATAGAATCATGTTAGTAGGTCATTGAGCCTTTGAAAGGTCCAAAAGGTTAAAAAGTATTAAAAAGTAGCACTCAAGCATTGTGCCACAGCTGTTCCTAACACATTTATATAAGAGCACAACATTCAATCGAAGAACAGTTTAACATGGTCTTACTGTGCGGAGAATATTGGCAGGATGGCAGTAATGCTGTCAGATTGTATATCAAACAGTACCCGGATGGACATCATCCTTTGCGTTAGATGATAGAGAACGTGCGTTTGTAGCTGTGTAGTACAAACTTATTTACACATAGAGCCGAGTGGGCAGTTCAAGAACATCAACTAATGCTGACTATGAGGCCGTCATAATAATGGTATTTGCTACATTCGGGTAGCACTTTGGACACAGCTATTTACTGGTTTCCAACGTTTCATGATACTGTTAACATGTTTACCTTATCTGCATACATCTACGATAACTATTGTTATTGAGGAGAGATTTTGGTAATTTGTGATTTGATTTTTTTTTTATTGTCTACACCTTGGAAATCTACATTATTGGTGTACGATGCACACTAGTAAAAGTTTTGGAGAATATTACCTTATAGTTGACCTTCAATGACCTCACTCTATTCCACGGCACTGTAACAGTTATTTTCCTATTTCTGAATTATTTGCGTGTCAAAGAGTTTCTGAATTACACGGTAAAGCTTAGCTCAGATAACATTAATTTATAATGTATGACATGCTATGCTTTGATATCAAAGAGATTTGAATTGGTTTACTAAATGCACAGACACGTGCGTCTGCATATGCATTAATGCCATCGCTTTCCAACAGTTGCTTTAAAATTATTTATGCTGTTAAATATTTGAGATAGGATTGATAGCTTTTAACACTGCGTGGTACAACCAAAATGCCCAGATTATTTTTGTTTTGTTGTTGTTTGTATTTTTAAGTAAACAATTGTATCATCGTTTACGTCAAAAGTATTTGCAGTATACGAACTGAATACACACATGTACTTTTGTATAGATACTCAAATTATTCATTGTATTATGTATTTACTTTTATCGAAATGGGAGATGATTCTTGTTTAAACTTTAGATGTTAAAAGACTGGTGTTTATAACTATGGAGCGATGATTCGAAATAATAATAGAACTTTTTTCAGTGTTATCATCAGCATGTTATATATAAGACTTCACATCGATAGAGATTGTCTATTTTCTGGTATAACGAAGAAAAATATTTAAAAAAATGCTTGCCGAGTGTCAGTGTCTCTTGCTTAACAAATAAAAATATATAATAATAAAAGGGCGTGTCTGTGTGTGTGTGTGTGTGATCGCCATAACTCCAAGAGGAAAGAACCTAGAAACCTGAAGTTTTGCACACATACTAAGTGAACCCTGAGGGTGTGCACCTCGGTATTAATACTTATCCACGCGCGTGCGCGGGCGCATCTTTTTCTGAGGAAAGCTAGCGAAAAACCACATAGAAAAGAATATGACCGCCATAGCTCCAAGAGGAAAGAACCTAGAAACTTGAAATTTTGCGCCCATACTAAGTGGACCCTGAGGGTGTGCACCTCAGTATTACTTATGTTATCCATGTGTGTGCGCGTATGCACTTGCGCATCTTTTTAATAAGGCGATATAGCGAAAAACTACATAAAAAGAAGTGGTTCTTTATTTAACAGCTTCTAATATATAAAAAAGTTAGTGCGTTTTTGTAACAATGCGTTCAAACAATGGCTTTTATGTTTTGTTGCTTAGCAACAAAAAGTATAACCTAATATTGTTGTTAGTCTATGTACTGAAAGTATAAACCACAAAACTGGAAAAATTATTTGTTGATTTTATAATTTAGAGTCCCCGTTGATTAAAGAAGTTTGTTTGTTTTGTTTTGTTTTAACGTTTGTGATATAACAGAAAATAGCTTAATTCAGAAACGACTTAAGTTTAAAATTGGATCGATATTTTTACTTTCGTGATAAATTTTATGCACTTGCTAAAATATATCAACCTAATAACCTGTGCGAAGCCGGGTACTTTCGCTAGTATCCAATATGTTAATTTGGTAATTTAACTTATTAACTGAGCATTTTACTCTAGTTACTTAATGCTATTTACCTATTGGGGTATTCATTTATATATTGTTGATGAAACTAAATCAGAAACTATTGACATTGATTGGCGAATCAGAATGCGTATGAAAGTAATCTTCGACTTTCAATTTCAGCATTAGAGCATCTTTAGCCTAAATTTGATGTGTTTGTTTAATATGTAGCTGTTTAGTAGTATTATTTAGTGTGATATTTATTTACATATTACTGAATCAGAGACAAGCTAGAGTAAGCTCACTGGTTGTTAATTATTTACCAAACATATACATTTAAAGTAATATTACTGTCAATTAAAATTAAATACTTACCTTAAAAGTGATAGAAGTAATTTTGATATATATGGACGAATAGACGGAATCTATTGTTAAAAACGTAGACACAAATCCACAGGACTTATGCGAAGAGCATTATTACAATACATTCGAAAATAGTAGCGTCTGTGTATTGCTTTTCACATAAATAAGTGACTTCAAGCTTTAATCTAAGTTCCAATCTAATATAATCTTTTCTTTTGGAGCACTTTAACTCCTCACTTCACAGTCTGCATTTCAAATCTGAAAGGCATGAATCACCTCAAGGGTAAGTATACGTCTCTAGTATGCTACAAATAAATGTATCTACATATGCCCTTTAATGGGATTAGGAGCTTAAGAAAAGTTTATATTGATATATAAATTCATGCAAAGTTGGTGTATTTACAAAAAATTATATGCATTTTTAGTACTCGTATTTGTGTATTTAAAAATATTGCATGCATGACAGTTTTTGTTCTTCCAGGAAAGCTACAGAATATGTATTCCATCGTCATCCTTCGAGTGAGCTGATGTGCACCATTATAGTTCAGTGTTTGCTTAGGAAGCTGTTGAGTGTTACAGTCTATGTTCTGCTAAGCAGCTGCCGTGTATCGTAATTCATCGTTTACCAGAAAACTGACGAGAATTTCAGCCCTTGTGAGTTGGTGTGTATTATAATTCATCATTTGTTTAAGAATCTGTTGTTTGTTGCAGTCCTCGTTCCTGAAGATGTTGTGAGTTGTAAATTATCCTTTGCCTAAGGAGCTGTTGTATGCTGTATTTATTTTTCCAGAGAGCCACTGTGTTCTGTAGTTTATCGTTTATTTGTCGACTTCTTGCATATTCCAGTCTTCTATCTTCCAGTGAGTTACTATGCACTGTTTCTCATGGTTTGTTATGATACTGTTGTGTTTTATAGTTGATCCCCAGAATTCTGTGTCTTTTTTTTTTCTTCAAGAAGCTTTTGTGTATTGAAGTCTTCATTTTTCCGGTACTTGCTGCGTATTTCAGTTATATTTTTCCGGTACTTTCTGCGTATTTCAATTCTATTTTTCCGGTACTTGATGCACATTTCAGTCCTCGTCTTCCCTGAGGTTTTTTCTCATGAACTGTTTCGTATATAGTATGTTTTTCCTTCTTGAGCTATATCTCCAACACCAGTTTTGTTTTTTCTAGCTACTTCGTTTCGTGTTCAGATTCTTCCAACGAGACGAGATGGTCGGTATCACAGTATCATTTATCCAGCGTAATGTTCTATATTTCAGTTCTAGTGAACTGTTTCTCATTACAGTTTTCATATTCAGCATGTTGTTGCGTATTACAGCTCTTCTTCATCCAGCGCAATGTTGCGTAATTCAGTTCTATTTTACTAATGAGCTGTTGCGTATGCAGTTAGAATTCTTTCAGTCAATCATTGCGTTCTGCAATGTTATTGTTCTCGTGAGGTTTTGTACGTTGCAGTCAGTTCTTACTTTTCCATATATTTTGTTCTTCCCAGTGTAATTATGTTTCCAGGGGAATTTTCTCAGAAATCATTCTTTCATGAAATTGTTTAGTCAGCTGTTGAGAAGCAAAAACATTTTAAGTATTACAACTCATAATAATTAGTCTTAATTATGAATAACAGACAAACCACAGAAAGCTTCTATGATCACTCTGCCTTAGGTCATCACTGGGGTATCAACGCTGTTAGGATGTGTTTTTACCCCTTACCTCAAGAACATTGACAAAGTTGGTACTGCTTATTTTTACTAACCACCGAAGAACGATTACCTCTGTCAATACACACTTCATTTTATGTTAGGTAGAAGATTCTTAGTTTATATCCGAAACAAGCAGTGTCTGAAACGGGGCCGAGTGTGACCTAATGATTCAAGTACAGGGTTGCGAATCTAAAGGTCCAAGATTCGAATTGCAATACCATTATGGATGTGTAATAAAAGTGACAGTAAATCCTGTTATTCAGTTTCAGTAGCAGGACAAAGCTCTTATAGCGACGAATGGACTGAGTGTCCTCCCTTCATTTAGTAGTTTCAAATTAGAGACTGCTATATTTGAGCTTAGTGGTTTCTGACCTGGCCATTTAACTCCTGTGCGCATCAGGTTTTATTTAAGGTACATTAATGTTGTACGCGATAATGACTAACTCTTAGAGACGAAACTTTGTAAAGAAATATATTTATTATCCTACAAATAGCTGTTTCAAAACTTGATATTGTTCGTAACTTAAGTGGGTGCCTCTTAGAAAGAAGGGTGTTATTCAAGTTAAAATGGTGCTGGCTGAAGTAACGTGTAGTTTGTTTGTTCGTCGTCGAAAACAATAGCAAGTGAATGTTTTAAACCAATTACAAGTCTTTCACATTTTATACAAGTGAGTGTTTTAAAACAATTAGGGGCCTTTCACATTTTATACAAGTGAATGTTTTAAACCTATTACAAGTCTTTCACATTTTATACAAGTGAATGTTTTAAACCCATTAGAAGTCTTTCACATTTTATACAAATTTGCTTTCACTCACAGACGTTAATTTGAAAAGGGTGTTATTGATGCAAAAGGCATGAAATGAAGAATTTTAAGTGTGATTTAGTTTGTTTATTAACATTTTCCTCCTTGTTTGTTATAAGTATATGTATTAAATTTTCAATCGAATTCGTAAATTTATTAAGAGTGCAATAAAGTATCTTGTTCAAAGCAATTTAGATTTCTCTCTGTGTTTTACGTTTATAAGAGCATATTCAGTATTTTTATTAGTTTTTTTATTTCGAGTATTCGCGTACAGCTACACAAGAGCTATCTGCGCTCACCTTCAGTAGCAGAAAGAGAAAACTACAATTAACCCTAGTCTTTGTCCTCCAAATGCCTCCTCCCCTATCTCACCTGTCTGCCACCTGGTCACTCTCTTCTTTTTTTCTTCTTTAATTACCACTTGACGACGTTAGAGGGCAGGCCAACCCTTCCCTTTCAGGCCCGATAGACTGGCTGCCATGACAATTAAATGTGTGCATACATAATATAAAGTAATTTGTGCCTGCAGGATCCGGCTAAAGTAGGAGGGCCGGGAAAGAGGGCGCTCCTTTTTCTCAGACTCAGTGTCCTGTGCATGGGTAATCACAGCATTAAATGGTGCAGACAGCGGCTGCTTACCTACACCCACTACAAGCTGAGAGTGACTATTTTTGTCACCAGATTTAGATTATTTTTAGTTTCAGTAATCACATACTATATAAAAAACACTTGGTTTTCAGATTAAATATCCTCAGATTTTGTTCTACACGTGAATGACTAATTCGTTGACAAACAGAGTTCCTTTCACTTTTTCTGACGCTAAAACGTTAGGGGAATGTCTTCACATAAAAATGTTGCTGTAACAAAACACTAAAATCAATAAAATTCTAATTTTTTGGCAACTTAAAAAGAAAATTTAAATCACATCACGTAATGAAAAGTTTTACATCACGAGTGTCCTTTATCTTTTGACTTTTAAAAACATATTCACGTGTATGCAAGAACACAAAACAATTTATTCGTTAGGTGTTCAAGGAAACATAGTTTGCACATATCTAGTTTTTGTCCACTTCACATGTGTATACGGTACACCATGACTGGAAAATATCGAAAAACAGTTTCGCTTGTCACCGCGAAACGGAGGTTCAAAGGATATAGCTGTCGGACTCCTGAACACCAGAAGAACAAGAATATGAAAAGATACACAGACTGTGTATAATAAGAAACAATATTTATTAATCGTTAAATTAAACAAAGCTAAGTCTAACGTGAATTGTAGAAATTAAAGCTGAAGAGCACTTTAAATAAAACCAACGTTAATAAAGACGATTTAGTGATATATTTAATCTGAAAGTATTGAAAAATATATAGTTTATACTGTAAACATACCATACTTGTAAACAGTGTTTTACAGGTCCATCTCTTTCCAGAAATATATATTTGACATTACAAATATGATATCATTAAAGTATGATTATTGGGGGGAGTGTAAGAAGGAAGGATTAAAATAACCAGACTAATTTAACGCATTAAAATAACCAGACTAATGTAACGCATTAAAATAACCAGACTAATGTAACGCATTAAAATAACCAAACTAATGTAACGCATTAAAATAACCAGACTAATGTAACACATTAAAATAACCAGACTAATGTAACGCATTAAAATAACCAGACTAATGTAACGCATTAAAATACACTTTGACTTACGTAAGATTTCATACTGAACCCAAAGTTGTACGTCACACGTCACGATAATTGAAATTAATAATTGGAAACATATTCGAAAAGCTGGCATATTGATGTTCCTAAACCAACAGCTAACGTTACACGGTCAGCTTTAGTTAATCAGTTACCTTTATGGTTGTTTGTTTTGTTGTAGTTGTTCTTACATCTTACACTTTTCTAGATACCACTTACGGTTTTCTAGGATGTCACCTTAGAAGTATATTACTTTGTTTTCTAGGATATCACTATAGAATTGTAAGCTTTGTCTTTAAGGAATTACTGTACTTACTAGGATATCTCTGTGGAACTGTAGTGTCCTGTCTTTGTTTAGTCATATTGTTTTATAGGATATCATTATAGAACCGGTATGTACTGTGTATTATATTGTTTTGTACGGTGTTACTGTAATGAACTTCTTGTCTATATAGATATAACCTATTACCCAGGACAGCTCTGTAAAACTGTATGCTTGTCTTTGTTGTATATCGTCGTTTTGTAGAATATCACTGTAGCGTTTGTTTTTCGTTGTTTTTTATTACCCTACCTTCTAGAAAATTATTGTGAAACTTTCGTGCATGGCTTTTATTGAATTACATTACTCTGAAACTGCAGCGTCACAGTTTCCTTTATCTATTCGGGTTATTACCAAGAAATTGTAATGTCTTACCGTTGTTAGAAACGTTGTTTACTGAAACATCAAATTATATATTGTTTACAACGTTATCTTAAGAACCCGGTCAACGAGAAACCCACTCTTGGGGCTGTCGTGCTCTCATTAAAAGGTAACGGGGAAAGTGCGCAATAGGTGTGGAATAGTCTAAAAAGGCGAGAGCAGCTTTCAGAATTTAAAAATCTTTTCTGGTCGCGGAGAAATAGACGAAAACGATCGGCTACCTCCCGACTTCCCAGAAAATCAAAGGAAACATTCGGAATGCTTTGATTTTAGCAAATATTGGAGTTATTTTAGTTCCAATGATGTTATTAATCAATTTCAATACATAATTAGTGAGAATAAACATGTTTCTAGTTTTCTTCTAGTACGTCTTTAATCGCAATGTCCAAATCCTGTAACGAAACACTCTCTTCAGCACACATTTTCATAAGAACATCTTGTTCTGTCTCTTCCTTCTCTTTTTTACTGGCTTTTGGATATTTTGCACTACTCCACGTCTACTTTGGAAGAAACATGGCAATATAGCTGGAGGATCATAATGTAAACACATTTCATAGCTTTTTCAGCTTCCTTTCTTTTTGTATTTATGTTTTTCACATGGTCTTGGCCTTCTCGTAACTTCGGTCATACTTGCGTGGCGCAGAAATGGAAGACTGATTTCGAAACAGCTGAATGCTTTACATACGGCAGTGTTATTGGGTTTTATGGTATTTCTCCGCGCAAAAAATGATTCTGGAGTTTTCTTTTTTTCCAGCG